ATGTGAGCTTACTATATTAAGCCGCTACGTTGTCAATCAGGACAAGTTTAAGAATTAAGAGTTAGGTTGTGGATCAATAGGGCACAATTAGGTGAATGTTTAGGTTGTTTGCTTAGCTTCATGGTTAGGTTGGTTGAAGTTTGTGTTAGTCAGTTGAAAGTTTGTGTTTAGGTTGGATTGTGTAATAAAGTGCCTTATCAATGAAATCTTATTACTACTACATGCTGAAGGCTCTAGTTTGGTTTTGGTGAATTGATGAAACCCTAAGTGCTAACCTATTTGCTCTAGTGATCATGAGGTAGGTAGCACTATTCCAAGTGGTGGGGCAAATGAAGATCATGTTGATGGTGGTGATGGCCATGGTGATCAAGAGCTCGGACTTAGAAAAGAAGAAAGAGAAAAACAAAATGGGCTCAAGGCAAAGGTAAAATTGATAGGAGCTTTTTGGTTTAGTGATCGAGACACTTAGCGAGTGTGATCACATTTAGGATCGATAGCTGTACTATTAAGAGGGGTGAAACTCATATCAAAATGCTATTATCAAAGTGCCACTAGATGTTCTAACTCATTGCATATGCATTTAGATCTAGTGGAGTGCTAACACCCTTGAAAATGTTTGTGAAAACATGCTAACACATGTGCGCAAGGTGATACACTTGGTGGTTAGCACATTTGAGCAAGGGTGGAGAAGTTGGTGAAGTGGAGGAGCTGTTTTCCTCTGATCGGATGCAGGTCACGAAGTGACCGGACTCGGGGTTCGACGCATCCGATCATTAGTGCAGTGAAGAGCGTGGCGTCGGTCTCTGACCAGATGCTAGCACAAGAAGTGACCTGACGTGACGGAGGTGCGTCCGGTCATATATGGCGTACGCTGATGCAAGCCGTTTTGCAAAGAAGAGAGGAGCAGATGTGGGGGCACGTCCAGTCATGCTTGACCTAACGCGTCTGATCACGTTTGGGTGGCTCTAGAACCTCTCTAGAGTTGACCTGATGGGCAGGTGGCATAGCGTCAGGCGAAGGGATCGGTGTGTCTGGTCGCTGACTAGCTCTGCGCGGGCGCGTGAAGATTGGACGCCGGGCGGCTACATCAGGTCATGGCATGGTGAGTCCGGTCGTGACTTAAGTGCGAGAGTGGGTGAGACGACCATTGAGATTGGGTGGCGTAGGTTTGAAGGCAGGGGCCACATGGCAATCATCGAGCGATCGGACGCTGGCGCATGTGTCCGGTCCCCTCTGACAGGTGCGTCCGGTCGGCCCACAATGAGATGCCCATGGTGCCTAACGGCTCTATTTCGAGGGGGCCTCTATTTAGCCCCTTGGTCGGCTCAAGCTCACTATCTTGGCCATTTGCATTGACATATCAACCTTGTGAGCTTAGCCAAAGCCCTCCCACTCATCTCCATCATTGATTCATTATCTTTGTGAGATTGGAAGTGAATCAAAGTGCATTGCTTGAGTGATTGCATCAAGAGGCACTTGGTGATTGTGTTTCACTGTGGGATTTGCTTGTTTCTCTTGGTGGTTGCCGCCACCTAGATAGCTTGGTGCAGTGAGGATCATCGAGCGAAGGAAGGTGCTTGTCTCTGGCTCCAACCGTGGTCATTGTGAGGGGTTCTTGACCTTTCCCCGGTGGAGAGCCAAAAGGTACTCTAGTGGATTGCTCATGGCTTGTGTGATCCTCATCTTGTGTTGGTTGTGCGGCACCCGATTGCGGGTTAGGCGTGTGATGCCTATTAGCACATGAACCTCCAAGTGAGTGAATCACCACAACAGGGACTAGCTTGTCGGTAAGCAAGTGAACCTCGGTAAAAAATCTTGTATCATCATTGTATCCGAGGATTTCTAGGTGTTCATTGTGATTGATTGTCATTATCTTGTGATTGGTTCATTCCTCAACATGTTAGTATAACTATCACATCCCCTCTCTTGTATTTACATTTCTAGTGTTGCTACGCTCTTTAGTGTAATTAGTTTTGAGAGCTAGCTTGTGTCGGGTCTAGTGGTTAGTGAGGCTCTTTAGTTAGTCTTTGAGAGCTCACTAACTTAGTGATAGTGACATAGCATTGTGTGCTTAGAGACTATAGTAACTAGAATTGTGGTAGGTGGCTTGTGTTTTTAGTAGGCCAGCGCAACATTCGCTTCGCCTCATATTTGTCTAACCACATTACTTAGTGTTGTTGTATAAATTTTTATAGGCTATTCATCCCCCTCTTGCCATTAGGACCTTTCACCTACTCTCTATTTATTTTGTATATGTGTTTGTCTCCACATGTTGTGCATAAAGATAAATAGGAAACAAGTGTGGGGGAAGCACACCGCAACAACGAAACAAGATCCGATCGCGAAAATCATGAAATTCAGAAAGCAATGGACCAAATACCACGCTCGCCAAAGTTGGTCAGAAATAGGCCTGAGAGTGGGCCTCTCGGCCTCCTACATAGGTTAGCCAGCCAGCCAAGCTTCGCCTCACCTCGTGCTTCGTCCATGGTCAGGTTTGGGTCCAATATATTCTATTTTCGCTTATCTCGCATTTCATTTCGAACCGAATTGAAAATCCTTTGATAAAACAACTTTAAAACCTGAGGAAAGATTATTTCAGTCATGACTTAAGGATAGACTCACATAACACTCTACCTGGAAGTCTTGCTACTGTTAGGAACTTATTAATAGGAACACATGTTACTTAAGTTGTTGTGGAGTGAAATATAGTAGAATAATGAGAACTTGATTCTTGATGTCTTGTTATTGGACAATTTTATTTCAAAAAGTTAAATGAATAGCTACACCTCTCCTTTATGGTAAGCAATATCCTACCAGAGCCATACATGATATGATAGACTAGGAAACCTTCTACATATACTACTTGTCATTGTGTTGAGTTTGGTCAAACCTTGTGACCCTTGTTGAAAAATTTATCATGCTCTCAAGATCAAGATCACATACACTCCACATATATCTGCTGCTTCTACACTGGGAGTACACAAAAACATGTTTTCCATCCACCCCAAAATGTTCTACTCCTATATTGGGAATAGACACAAAAACAATTTGTTAGGATAAATGCTCCAAGTTCTTGTAAATATCTCTCTTGAAAAGTTTCAATTGCAGAAAAAGTGGCATGGTCTATGCAAGAGTTATTCATAAAAAAACAAAAGGAAGAATTGAAAAAAATGGACAAGTGTCCAAGATATTTAAAACAATGGGTACTCAGATGCCCGCCTGAAAAAAAGAGAAAGATGAATAAGATAGCCCATGTTTTCTTGCAAAAGTGTTTTCAAAGTTTCAATCAAGAGAGATATGTTTCAAGGAGCATAGTAGAATTAGGTTAGCCATCATATACATATCCACACACGTGCACATCTTGATCTAAGAGTATGACATTTTTCTCCTTGGATCTTTGTTTTGACTTTACAATATATGCAATGCAATTTTAATTCTCATATTCATCCCTACTTGAGCTCCACATAAGCCTTTAGAAATAGGTAAAAAGAAGGCAAAAACATCAATGCCTTGGTAAGGATCTAAAAATACAACATATATTGAGTGATTTGAGAGAACTACAAAAGGAGAAGATAAGCATGTTTTGTTTTCACAAATCTTAAACTATTTCTCCAATTGACTTAACTAAAGTAAGATGGTGATATGTTTCAAGCTGTTCCATTCTTCAACCACCCAAAGTTTTATGGTAGACACTTTGAATTATGCAGAGCATGTATGACTGGGAATGGTTTTATGTTGGTGTCTTGTTCAAGGTTATGTCGTAAGTAATCCATCCTTTTATCGAGGATGAGTAAAAGCCTAAGTGTGGGGAGTTTGTTGACGATAGTTAATGTTAATCACAAACCGTCAATATACCTTGCATAAATAACTAAAATGGATCACCAACATAGACTTAGGGGTTTAAACTGACAAATTCCATGAGTTTTGGTGAATCTATGTTTTCAATAGAATTTAATCAGAAAGCCGTCAAGGAGGACCTATTCGTCAAAGCAAATCCTGTTTATCCATGACGGTACCAATGTGGGAAGACTCTAAAAGACAAATCACCGAAGTAGACCCCAAGCCACTGACATGTGGGGCCGGCCGGTCGGCCTAGGGGCCCCCATGTCAGCCTCCCATTACTATGTTGGTTCTCCACCGCCTCAAGGATCACATCTATGAAATCCTTTTAAGTCGGTTTGATCCGAGGGTCTAGGATGCTTGAAGGTCCCTATATATACCTGCCTGCACCCCCCCCTCTCCAGGAGAGAGGCAATGATCCTGAGAGCCTGAAGGCCAGAAACCCTAATTCATATGTCCACCAGGATCAGAACTAGCAATTAAGAGAAGATTAGTCCTCAATAGGATCTAGTCTTGTATTAGAGATAGAAAGATAGAGTGTGAGGGAAGAGTTTTGGAGGAGTCCTGGCACTACAACACACTTGACCTTCTGCGACAATCAGCTATTGTCGTTGAACACTAAATTTACGTCAAGTTACGGATTTGGTGACGTGAGTGCGACAAATTCCCATTGTCGCCTATCTGACGTGTTTAAACACCTTTGGTGACAAACACAAGTTTTTTTGTTGCTAAACTTTCGACAATACTGCTTCGTCACTAAATTTGCGACAATGGCTATAGTCATTGTTTTAGGAAGAATTGTCGCTAACTATTTAGTGCCATGATATAATGTAGGTGACAAATTGATCATATCATTGAACATTTAATTAATTAAAGTTCAAACTCACCAACCAAAGTTACAGTAGCAGGTCATACAATACATGTTTCGATGATCATATCCACCGTCAACAATAGCAATCCATAATACTAGTTTTGTTCATAGGCCACAATACATCTCATAGACCATATGATGCACTGACCAAAATCATAGCATCCACAAGTTCCAAAGTTTAAAGGCCACACAATACTTCTCAGAGGTCGCAAAACAATGAAACCAGCAGCATGGTTCAAAAGTTAGAGCTACTAATACTAGGGGCAAACAACCAGCAACCAAACCAAGTTCAACCATCCCTAGGACCAAGCATTTGACGAAAGGACATGGTTTCTTGTGATGCCTTTTTTATTTTTTTGATCTCCTCAGCCTGTTTTGCCCTTGCCATTTCTGACTCTTTCTTTAAAGTCTCCATTGTCATTTTTGATTCTTTCTTCATGGCTTCAAACTCATGCCTAAGGTCTTCTTTTGATTTTTTTTCAATTTCAAGATCAGCTCGAAGTTGTTGCACCTGTGCATAAACACCATAAATATGTCGATGGCTTTACTATGAAATAAATCATCTATTATTCTCTTAGAAGCAATAACCACTCAAGGCAGCAAGGCAAAATATTTGTTTATTGGACATTATTATGTGCAAACTGAACAGCTAAGTACAAGTAGGTTCAAATTGAGTTTACTACTTTCATGTGCAGGACAACTAGGTACAAGTTGATTTAAACTGAATAACTAGGTATTTATTCCTAAGTCAAATGCAAATGCCCAACTAAGGGACAACAATTCATGTGCAAGAGTAGGACAGCTAGGTACTAGTAGAATCAAACTAAACAACTAGGTATTTATTCCTAAATCACAACTAGGTATATATCTTGATGAGGCACAAATCTGGTCTATGTCTTGATGAAGCACAAATCTGTAAAGAAAATAACTTCAGAGCATGCATGGTAGGGACTTGATGCACTTGTACCTTTGAGGAAGTGCAACCTTTAGAGCTATTGTTGGAGTTTGGTTGAATTCCTACAATTTGAAGAAATGTAGTTGATTTCACAACTTGAGAAACAGCATAGTTCACTGACTTTGGTTGCTCTTCATCTTGTACTGGTTCAGCCATGATCGCTTCCATATCAGCCTAGCAAAAAAATTACAATAGAGACTTAAATCTTGTGTGCAGTTTTTTTTCAGATGTACGTCATGTAGCAAAGAAGGTAACAATCTGCAACATGTACACAAAACTATGGGAACAGAGAAGAAAAGGGAATCAGTCACTCACAATAGCTTTCTTGATAGGCTCACTGAATCCTTTGTTCTTGCTGCAGTGGAAGTCCTCGAAAAGATCAATAGCAGTAGGTTGTACATCTTTGTATTTCTCTTGTCTCTAAATTATTTGCAAAGAAATACAAACAATTAGGCTGATACAAAAATCAATATATATCCATTACTGATCATTGATTGTTTAGTTTCTTACCATGACATGGGCTTGTGCAATGTAACATCGAGATCCTGTACAATGCAGTAACTGTACCTTCTCTCGATTTTGTTGGTTTTTCAAGCACCTTTCCTGTACATGAAACATTTGTTTAAGTGTTTCTACACAGGACAAATGCAGAAAGTGAAGTTACAGCAAAATAATAAACATAAGTTCAAAGCATGTCAACTAATAGATATGTCCTGCTTCTTAGAGGTTCTAGGAGAAAATCGCTAGAACCTAAGACCACAGAGCTAATGGTCCCTAAAATAGGAGCAGAGGGACAGCAGTGACCTCAAACTAAATGCAAAAGCGGCCACATGTGGATGTCACAACTACCTGATTAAAATTTTTCCTAGCATAAAAATTAGCTAAAGGTTCAGGTTTAGATAAGAAGATTTACAAAAACAGTAATAGATCAAGACAAGTGTCAGCTTACCATCTTAATTTCTATTTTATTATATCTAAGTTCAGGTCAGGAAATTTGGACGTTTGTCGCCCCTTGTGCTTCGGGTCTGACCACATTTGCACTAAGGCCAGCCATTCATTGTCAGTCATATGATTCACAGGCAATGTTGTCCTCACTTGACTTGCAGGTACCCCATCAAAGTACTTGTTTTAGCTTGTGCCTCATCTGACGCTGTCCACACTTAAGCAAATCAGCACATGCATATTGGACTGCTTCACTCTTGGTGTCAATGGTGAATTGGGCCTAGTAAAGAGCATGAAAATTAGAATCTGAGAATGCAAAGGATAGATTGAACTTTCATGATATCAGCAAAATTGAATTTAACTTACACCAATTTTTCCAATGTAGTTTTCAAGATGTGACTCATTTTTCTTGTACTCCTTCTAGTGTGTAAGGATTGGTATGTGCTGCCTAAGTGTGATCCCACCCTCTGATGCAAGCTTGGCAGCCTGGATAGGCGCCTCTGGCCGTCTGTTCCCTTTAGAAACATGGATTGGCAACTTCATGCATAATCCTCTACTTAGCCTATCTAGTTCTCTACCTGCGCTTCTTCCTCTTATCCTATCTGGATCTTTTCTTGCAGCAAGTGCACCTAACAACAATATAATATGCAAATTTATGACAATAAATTTATGACAATGGCATATACATATTTAGAAGTATGATTGAATTTAGAAAGGCAGTAAATTTATGACAATGGCATATACATATTTAGCATTGCAATGTGCAAATAACAAAAAGTGATTTGTTTGCACAAGGTAGATACAGTCACTTGCCTTCATCTGTAATGTTAACCAAGTCATGTTGCAAGGAGGGATCACTACCAGAAACCAACACATCATGTGTGGGTGTGGCATTTGGCAGGCCTAAGTTGATCACTTGTTGTGGGTCTGGACTTGAAACCAAGGCTAGATCCCTTGTTTTCTGCCTAGTGACTCTGTTAGGCACATCTTGTTCCTGAGGTGCCACCACTCTTTTAGATGCTTTTGTTCCTCTAACAGAGGTGTTCCCAGACCTTGTTGGATTCTTTGTATGTGCAGCACTAGCAACCTACAAAGCCTCATTAGGCAAAAAAACAAGCAGAATTGGCACCAAATTTGCTAAATAGCATACTGACACATAATAAGAAACAATAAAGGACAAACAAACATATGCTTAGAAGACTTGGTACCTTGCTAATAACCTCCTCATCTTCACAGTCCTCACTCTCCTGACCACTCTCCTGACCTATATACAACGATCCAGAAACTTCATGGTCTTCACCCTTTCTCTCCACAGATGTATTGTTCACTATGGGCACTAATGTCTTGATACCAAGCCTCTCCAGCTCTCGGTCATTTTTCATTATTTCTTCATTCCTTGAACGCTCATATTCAGTAATAGGCGCCTCTGTAAAAATCATTTGAGAATAGTTAGAAGGTTGGAATTTAATGAGATTATATGCCTCTATAAAACCCAAGAGCCTACATAAATGCTGCATGTTTAATTAACTTTTCATATTAGACACTGCAAGTTGTATAGCAAGGATGACTTGCTGCATGCACAAAAAGATGTTCTTACACGAGAAGTTTTGCAAGATTAAACATCTAGCAAATATAAACCCAAAGGAGAATTTAGTTAACCTAGCTACCTAATCATTCATCTATTTAAAGGCTATTACATATATGCTGCTGCTGGACATGCTCTAGAATCTTTATTGCTGCTGCTGGATTACAGAGATAAGCTAACTGTATGCTGCTGCTGCTGCTGGACATGCTCTCTAGCATCTTTTTTGGACATCATCTAGAAAGCCAAACTGTAATATATGATGCTGCTGCTGTAGGTTGCTGCTACAAAATTGCAGCAAACTTTGCACAAACTATGCTGCTGCTGCTGCTGCTGCAAACTATAGGTTCATTGTATTGATGGGACATTGTATATTATCAGGTTCATTGTATTAATCAGTCTAAGGAGATAATATACATTGTAATAAGTCATAGAAGGTTTTAATCAGCTTAAGATTAACTACACAACTAGAGTAAGAAATGAAACAACAAAAATAGTATCCTCAACAAAAATAGATTGATTTATCTAAGCCAAACTAAAGTCACTACAGGAACAATGAGACTATCTGTTCAGCATACGAAGCAGTCAGGAACATGAACATGATTCAACACCCTCTTTGTCATTGCAAAAGTGACTGAGCACTGTCTGTCATTCTAGAAATCATTTCCAGGATATGCTTGTTTGCAGTTCTAAAATATTTGAGATGCCTGTATGCAATTCTAAAAATATGCTCCCAGTAAAAAACATCTACATAAAATTCCTACAACTTTTGTATTCACCACAAAAATTACTTCGGTCTACTATTTTTAATCTAAGCTACAAAAATATTCAGTCGGATCTGAGAGAGTCTACAACACAACTTCGAAATTCCATAGCTTCTGAGATATCCAACCTCTGCACTACTGAAATCGTAGATAAAAAGAATGTCTACAGACCTCTAGTACTCTGGTTCACCTAACAAGCGACAAAAGTAGAAGGGAAAAACGAAATTGATCTGCTCAGTTACCTACTAAACATCATCTCAGTCTATTCTTTTGTGGTGCCCAGACCCAAAGTAGAGGCTAAACATGGGGAACAAAAGGGAAATCAACTTATTAATTCCGCATATTCATGAGTTTACCTATTGCTGTCTGCTTGCTCCCACCTTCCGACCAAGAGCCATGGTGCTCTGACCTTGAGTTGGGGGAGGGGGTCACGGCTTCTAGAGGGGGGAACGAGGGGGGTCGTAGCTTCTGACGGACGGCGCCTACTGCATGTGACTCGACGTGAAGAGGGAGGAGTGAGGAGCCGGGGCCCGAGGGAGCGACGCCCGAAAGTCGCGGTCTGGCGGAGTCGGTGTCCTGGGAGCCTGGGAGGCAACGCCTGCTATGTCGGGTCCGGTAGAGTGAGGAGCAGCGATTTGGAATCAGGGGAAATAGCAAGCGCGAGACGTCGGTGGGAGAAGAAAGAGTGAGCGCGGAGGCGGCGGGATAGAAAAAGATGGTGGCAGGTGAAAATTTTGGGGATAGTTTTCAACCGGAGAAAGAGGGAGCACGCGGCGTCGGCGGGAGAAGAAGCAAGCATGGCGGCTTTCATCATGAGAGAGAGGGAGCGCGTAACATCGGTGGGACCACAGGAGAAGAAGCGAGCGTGGTGGCGGCGGATGAAATTTTGGGGATTCAGCAAGCTAGGGTGCAGTGAGACTATCGTTGGGCCTAATGGGCTAGTTTTTTAGAATAGAAAAAATTGAGGATGGAAAAGAAAAAATGTTTTTGAAATTAGAAAAATTTGAGAATAAAAAAGAAAAAATATTGAAATGGAACCTCTAATTTGTGGCCTCGAATGTAGTTCTCCCAACCACACCACGCCAAAGTCATTTGAGATTGAGTAAATGATACTTTCCTTTAGTATTGATTTTTCTAGACATCGTTTATCTCATCGAGATATAGAACATTTGGTTTTGGTCATCTATCCATCTAAGGTAGTTTGGACAATTAAAAAAATTGTAATTCAAAATATTATACATGGAGTTGAGCTTATCATGTTAAAATTCAAATCATAAATTGTAATTCAATATATTATACGTGGAGTTGAGATTATCATGTTAAAACTCAAATCATAAATTGTGATGATTCTCCGATAGCATGCCATGACAAATTGCAACTCGTCGTAATATGGAAATTCTTCCGTTTACGACGACTTCTTCTAGATCTTGTGACAGACGTAGAATTTTCGTCGCAAAGTCATACACCCACCAAATAACGTCATAAAATACAGTGACTTAGCGACAAATTTGGCCGTCGTCATGAGGAAATCATTGTAGAAGGTCATATCTCTTGTAGTGTGACCTGTTGGTGCTCTCTCTATGGCTTATACCCTGGCGGGATAAAGTTCTTCTCGAGCTTGCTTCTTGAGATTTCTCTGGTAATCAACTTCTAATTCAAGTAAGCATCATTGTTCATATTGTTCTTCAGGTTTGCGACTCTCTTTTGAGTACTTTAATCCTTATAGCTCCTAGGTTACAGTAGTATTCATAGTGTAAGCATGGTGCTTAGACTCGGTTACTCGTGGATGTACCCTATATTCTAGATTAGTGGAAGCTCGTGAGGGTGACTCTTATAGTCTCATTGAATCCTCTATAGTCCACCTCCTGTTTGTAGGCCTAGCAGGACCTTGTTACTATAGGAAACGTACTATGCCTGTGTTTTCTTTAGTAATATCCCCAGAATTGAACAATAGAAGACATAGCTTACCGAAGTTAGAACTAGAAGACCTTTGTGGTCTCCTTTATACTCCTGTTATCTGAGTCTTGTTGCGAAGTTGGGTTAAGTTAGCTTTAGTTATTCTCACACCGTTTCCTTGAGTTTGATATAAAACTAGGATACTTTCGGTTAAGTGCTACATCGGTATAATATCCGTGCGCTTGCGGATTATTCTGTGTGCGTTAATAGATACCAACAGGGATCCTACCCCCAGAGAGACTTGGTTACATGTACCAGGGTGGAACTATTGGAAAGGTGAATGGTCTTCACCCTATCTACAGGTACATGGATAGGATGTTTAGGAAGACCATTGACTGTAAGGGTGGAGACAAGAGGACTATTATAGACTACTAAAGGAACATGATTCATAGGATGGCACCTGATGCACAGCTGTTCAGCATATTCAACTTTATTTGGTGTGAGATCAGGAGTGTCGATGAGAGACCACTTAAGGATTGTGGATTTGCTCCATATGTGATGTACATGATTGAGAAGGTGACAGGACACACATTTGAGTATGACAAGCAACACAAGGTCCTAAAGATGGTGGCAGATCTACCAGAGGTTGGCGTACCCCCAACTGGTCTAGGGGGGAGCAGCAGTAGGAGTGGCAGATGCACCTCAGGTTGGTGCAGTAGTAGTAGTAGCTTCTCCACCATGTGTTCCTTCATGTTCTTCTTCACACTGTCGCAACCCTCCTCCTATTCGCAAGCTCTTCAGCGCCATATTCAATATATGCAAGGGCAGTCAGGTTAGACAGTAGAAGGAGAGGGAGGCTAGGAGGAAGGACACCTATACACTTAAGTAGATTGCTCGTAGACTTGAGCTTGACCCTCCTAGGTCTACTATTTCATATGAGGATCTTAGTGACCTAGAGACTGAGGATTAGCGACAGGTCAGACATGACAAAGAGTTTGTTGAGTTTCTTCAATAGCAGGCACAGCAACAGTAGGCTTAGCAGTTGTAGCAGGCTCAGGGGCACCCTAACACCATGCCACTATAGGCTAGAGTGCCTCCTCACGTTTAGCCTTGCCCTAAGTGTAGGAAAGGAGCTTGGTTAGGCTTTGTGGGTGTTGATGGTAGTTAACACTCATCATAAACCAACAATAAACCTTGCATAAAAGACTAAAATGGATCACCAACATAGACTAATGGTTTTAAACTGACATTTTCCATGAGTTTTGGTGAATTTGTGTTTTCAGCAAGATTTAATCAGAAAACTGTCAAGGAGGACTTATTCATTAAAGGAAATCATGTTTATCCATAATGGGACGGATGTGGGAAGACTCTAGAAGACTCCAGAAGGCAAACCACCATAGTAGGCTACATGTCTCTAACATGTGGGGACAGCCAGCCCCACCTGTAGGCCGGCCGGCCGGCCTATGGGCCCCACCAGTCAACCCCTCCTCACTATGTGGGTTCTCCACTGCCTCAAAGATCAAATCTATGTTTTTCTTTTAAGTCGGTTTGATCCGAGGGTCTAGGATTGATGTATCCCCCTATATATACCTACCTACATCCCCCTCCTGAGGTAATGGTCCTGAGTTCTGAGAGCCAGAAACCCTAATACATATCTTCACCAGGATTAGAGTTAGCAATCAAGAGAAGATTAGTCCTTCAAGTTAGGATCTAATCTTGTATTAGAAATAGAGAGATAGAGTGTGAGGGAAGAGTTTGTAGGAAGTGTCAGCCTATCAGTGCTCTCTCTATGGCTTGTACCCTGGTAGAATCAAGTTCTTCCTGAGCTTGCTTCTGAGATATCTCTGGTAATCAACTTCTAATTCAAGTAAGCATCTTGTTTATATTGTTCTTCAAGTTTGTGACTCTTTTGAGTACTTTAATCCTTGTTGCTCCTGGGTTAAAGTAGTATTTATAGTGTAAGCATGGTGCTTAGACTCGGTTACTCATGGATGTACCCTATATTCCGGATCGGTGGTAGCTCACGAGGTGACTCTTATAGCTTTGTTGAATCCTTTGTAGTCCACCTCCCGTTTGTAGGCTGAGCAGGACCTATTCACTATAGGAAACACACTTTTCCTATGTTTTCCTTAGTAATATCCCTAGAATTAAACAATAGAAGATATAGCTTACCAAAGATAGAACTAGAAGACCTTAG